GCCTCATCCGGAGCCGTGGCGGTACTTTCCTGCAGAAGAACGGGTGCTCTGGTGCTTTGCGTCGTCCGCATGAGCAGTCAAGACGCGCGTCGTCATGATTGAATCGCTCGTGGTAGTCGGCGAAGTCTCCGTGGCGAGATCTCGCCGCGAGGAGGCCGTGGAGCGTGAGCTCCGGAGGGCAGCTAGTGGTCGCCTCGAGGTTGAGAGGCTTGTACGACTCTGGAGCTTCGGTCGACCACCAAGTTTTGAAGGCGTCTTTCGATTGCTGCCTCCGCAAGTCGGCGCAGGTGGGCCAGCGATGGCATGACTCCTGGCGGCTCAGGCAGCAGACAGCCTGCTTTGGCGCGGCCGTCAGCCTCCTCATTGCCTGGTATGTTGGTATGTCCTGGGATCCAGCGGACCCGCACATTTCCATGCGAACTCGCCAGTTCTTGGAACCTGGTGAACTTGTCTTGCGACGAGTCGGCTGGCCTGCCTTGCAGGCAGTTGGCTACGGCGAGATTGTCGGTACAGACCACGACATCGTTCGTGGTGTCGCCCAGACGAAGGGCGGCCATGAGGCCCTCCAGGGCGCCGGTTGCCTCCGCGTCGAAGACTTCGGATGGACCCAAGCGGCCCGATCCTTGGACTAGCGATTGCCTACTTCGGTGGACTGCGAAGCCATATCCCACGGCGCCATTTGGCAGTTGCGACCCGTCGGAGTGGACAACAAGTGTCGCTACGGCGGCAGTTCCGAGCCATCTAAGGAAAACCTCGGCGGTATCGGCTTTGCTTGCAGTCTGAAGAGGGCCGGCTTCTGTGTCGGAGTAGTGACGCCGCAGAAGCGCTGGGCGATGACATTTTTGGGAGGAGTTGCTCGGCGCGCTGTAGTCTTGATTGGAACGTTTCGCTCGATGAACCAGCGTCGTTTGATCGAGCTATGTATCCGAGAGGGCGGCCGGGAGGGTTTCTGCGAGGCCCGTTTGACAAGGGGGTGGCGTCCGTCGAGAGACTTCAAGCGCGCCGAGAAACGAATCTGCTGGGCGGCGAGTGCAATGGACGCAGGCGGAGTGCCTGCTTCGCGGTGCATGGCAGGATTCGGGGTCGTCTTCCACAGGGGCAGGGCAGCCCGGATGGCATGTCTCAAGACCGTATCCAGACGTAGCATGAGGTGCTTTACCTGCGTGGACACGAGACCATTCGGGTTCGCAACGCTTGGCGCCACCTCTCCGGGATACCACGCTTCTGCGCCGTAGTACAAGGTCGGTTCGACGCACGCCTTGACTACCATGCGAACGGCGCCAGGAAGGGGACCGTGCTTGGTGTTGGCGATGCCTTTGAGGAGGTTGGCCACTTGCCTGGCCTTGGCGGACCAACTGTCGATGTGGAATTTGAAGGAAAGCTTACGGTTGAGCCAAAGCCCGAGCCAGCGCATTGCGTCTCCAGGATTGATCTCGGTGTCGCATTGGAATACGGAGGGCCGGGAGGGGCTCTTCTTCCGAGAGAAGTGCATCACCTCGGTTTTGTCCGGGTCGAAAGTGACGCCGTTGGCGTCACCCCAAGCGAGAAGTTCTTCCATATCTCGGGACGCGAGAGCAGTCGTTTCTTCAAGCGTTCGCCCGGTGCGCAGCATTGCCGTGTAGTCTGCGTAGCCAAAACGACCATCTGAGTTCCCGAGACGGTAGATAGGGGCGATGTACAGAGCGAAGAGAATTGGCGATACAGGCGAGCCTTGTGCGAGGCCGCATCGAAGAGGCGACGCTGGCGTTGTGACATCCTGGAATCGGATTGCGGCCGAGCGGTCTTGCCTGAAGGAGCCGGCCCATCTGACGAGATGCGGCGGCCACCCTTGTTGCCGGAGTCGGAGGATAAGTCGGTTACGCATGACGGTGTCAAAAGCTCCTTGTACATCCATTGTGACTAGCGTAGCGACTTGGCCATTGGCCAGAGCTGTTTCGATGTCGTGCACGAGGGCGGCGACTAGGTCGACTGCGGACCTCTTTGGTAGGGCGCCAATCTGCTGTGGATGCAGGATACCGTATCGTATCGAGGCCCAAGCCAGGCGACGAGTGATAAGCCTTTCAAGTCCTTTGCCGAGACATGAGAGTAGTGATATTGGCCTCCAGGCACGTGTCTTGGAAAGGTCACGCTTGCCCGGCTTCTCGATCATGACCACTTCAGCCTCTTTAAACCTCAGAGGGTGGTAGCCAAGAGACAGGCACCCCTGATATAGGCGTTGGACGTGGCAGCGTAGAGCGGGCCATGCCGTTCGGAGCAGACGTACCGTGATGTTGTCCGATCCTGGCGACGTGTTGCCTGTGCGCAGCAGAGCGTCCTGGACTTCCTCAATGGGGGCCTTGGGCGAGAAAGGGATGGGTAGGGTGTCTTCTGACGGCGTCCAGGGGTCGGAGATGTCGTCGTCTGCAGTTCTGCGCTCGAGAGTAGCGTGCCGTCGAGCCTCGGCCTTGCCGATTTGAGTCTCAATGATTGTTTCGCCGACCTGTAGAGGGGGAGGGCGGAACACCCTGGGTCGCTTCAGCCATCGCGTGATCTTAAAAACGTCTTTGTCGCTTCGCACGCCATCAATCAGTTCGCGCCAGTATGCCCGCTTCGCGCGTCGCACCACACGCCGCAGGTCGCGACGAGCGAGCTGTACGTCGCGGTTGAAGCCGAGTGGGAATGCCCGTCTGATGCAGCGGAGCTCCGCAACAGACGCGGCACATTCCTCGTTCCACCAGGGAGCTTTCCGCGGCCTGCGTTGGGATCGCCGGCCAGCCGCGCGAGCTGCGGATTGTATGAGGTCTATGATTGCATCCGCGAGCCGGTCGAGATCTGCAGCCGTTGTTGCTGCCTGGGGAATAATTGTGGCCCCTGATACAACCAGCTCCGTGAACCGCTTCAGTTCCTCGTCGCTTGCGAGGAGAATTTTTCCAGGCGGGAGTGTGGCTGGCTTGAGGGCCGGCAGAGAGATGCTGAGGGTGAAGTGGTCAGAGCTCGTGGCAAGGTGGTCTTCCACCGTCGCCTCGGCTACGAGAATGTTCGAGAAGGCCAGGTCTATGGTATTGCCGTGGGCGTTCGTGGGCGTGTTAATCGGATTGAGAAGAGCTAAATCGTTTTCTGCGGCCCATTCTGCGATGTGGCCGCCGTGGCCGCGGGAGGGGCCAACCTGCCACGTGTGATGCCGCGCGTTAAAGTCGCCTGCGATGATGCATTGGCTCGGTATCGACCATGCGAACAGGACTTCAAGGGCGGTGTCCACGTTCGGTTCCCGATATACGTTCACCAGCGTGACGCCATTGACCACAATCCAGAGGATGTCTCGGGAGAGAGCGGGACGTTGCTGGTCGGCTAAGAGTCTTGCACCCCGGCGAATATATGTCATGACGCGCGGTCGGGTGTCGATGTCTTCCCAGGTGCTGACCGGTGAGTAGGTGTCGTACGCCGGATGTGTCTTGGTGAGGCAGCGGGAGTCACGGACTTGCGTCCAGGGCTCCTGTAGTAGTATGACCTCGTATCGTTCTGCATCAGCAAGGGCGAGTGCGCAATCGTGCGAGGGGCCATTCTTGCCGACATTGGCTTGAAAGACCCGGAAGAGTCGCTTGTCACGATGCTGTCGTCTAGGTCGTCTGTTCATAGAGGCCGGTCTGGGGAGGCAAGGCGGCGCTTCTTTGGCGAAGTGGTTGGCTGAGGGCTGGAGGTGCAAATCTCAGGAGCCGGAGTTCCGAGGAGGCACGTGGAGGAGAGCGACGGCGTAGGCGTGGAGACCGAGGGAGCTGGGCTCAGCGAGGATCTCGCGGGCGAGGGGCTTGCGGGTGGTGCTCGGCCTTTCCCAACGTACTCGTTCGGTTCTTCAGACATCTCGATGCTCTGCCTCACGGGCGGGGAATTACTTCTTTCGCTGCGTGCCGACGAGGCTCGAAGGAGTACCGAATCGGCGGAGTTCATGGGCGTAGCTGAAGTGGGTTTGATGGGGCTGGCCGATGCTGCAGTGTTTTGCCTACCGCTGGAGGAGCTTTCAGAGCTTGGAGTCGGCGATGCTTGGCTATTCGGGGCAGCTGGAGCTGTCGAAGAGGCGGAGGGTGTTTCGCTAGGGCGTGATGCACTATTTTCCCTCTCGGGCTCCGGTGTGATTGCGTCGCTTGTCGTCGGTGTGCTCCGGCTGGACGGGGAGGTAGTGTCGCTCGCTGTCGCTGAGTCGGATTCGAGGCTCGTGGACTGATCCCGCGGTGGAGATGCTGGTTTCGCTGTAAACTGCTTGAACAGTCGTTTGCCTATGATTTGGACAAGTTTCTTCTCGGGCCTATTGGGGCTGTGGAATGCTCCGTTCACCTTCTTGGGGCGAGCCGGGCACTGGGGAAAGTCAACCGCGTGCGGCCCGTGGCAGTTGGCGCATTGCTGTGTGGCAGTGCAGGTGTCCTGGGCGTGGCCAGTCTTGCCGCAGTTCTTGCAGCGTGCCTGGCGTCCGCAGCTGTAGCGTGAATGGTAGTCCCAGCAATTATCACATTGCTTCGGCGGGTTGGTCTTGACGATGAGTCTCGCATAGCTCGTCGTGTCGAAAAGGCGCCAGTAGTGCTTGACCTCCTTGGCAAAGGATATGATCAGGGTCCGGGTCGGGCGCTGATCCGAGTCCTGTTTCGCAGTTATCACCCTCTCCGGGGTTTGGCCGGTTTGCGTGGCGACCTCGTCTCGGATCGCCTTCTCGTCGTCGATGGCTTCGCCAAAGATGTTTTTGAAGCGGCGTGGGCAGCCTTGGACCGCATACGTGTACCATTCCTGTCGCTTTTCAACGATCTGTGCGGAGATGTCCGGAGCCCACTCGGCCTGCCGTTCAGTCAGAAGATCCCTGGTTGCCACGTCAGCGGCGCGGATGGCCCATCCGGTTTTGCAAGGGTGGGCTTCCGGGATGCGGCTCCGGGCGATGCCGAGCTTGTCGGCGATGTGGGTCCGGACGGCGAAACTTCGAGACATGTCGGCGGTATGGCCGGGGCGGAGGCGGGCGAAGACCCGGAAGTCGTCTGTCGGTGGGGGCAGCGGTTTGCGTTGCCCCTGACGACGCGCGGGCAACTGTTGATGCCATTGATTCTGCGGAGCTGCGCTGACAGGGTCTGCGGTGGTCCCCGCAGCAGCTGGGGCTGGGCGTCTGGCGGCGACGGCAGATGCGTAGGAGGGCTTCGTCGGAGGGAGGTTGGTGTGCGTGCCGGCGAGTACGTCGGTCCAGTACTGCAGGAAGCTGCTGGAAAACTTCTGGGCGAATTGAAGTGCGGGTCCAGAAGTGAACTGTTTCGCCGTGTCGTCGAATGAGGAGCAGAATGCTCTGAACACGGCTAATTTGGCGCTATAGACCTCGTTCTGGGCAACAACGAGCTTGTCGGCGGCATCGGCGATTGAGACCGGGCCGTCACTGGGTTGCGGGTCAGGTTCACTAGAGTCGAAATGGACAGCGCGCTGAGCTCCTTCCGTGGCTGCAGCATAGGAAACCGCGTGCAGCGGCGATGACGGCGTGTATGCCGTCCGTAGCGCAGAGCGCGAGACGCCAATCTCGCCCTCACGGGTGGCGGGGCTGTTGCGCAGAAGGGCGACACGCGCTCCTCTGGCTAAGCCGGAAGGGGTCCTGGGACCCAGATCGAAGGGATTATCATCATGAGGCGGGCTGGACGAGGCCGATGCCATCGCCGCCGCCGCCGCCGGCTGCGTAGAGCGCAGTTTGGGCGGATTACAGTGTACTTGTTAAGGAATAAGGTGTGTATTAGGCTACTTTCTTAACAGTTGCATGCCAAGAAAGTAAGAATGCAGGGAAGGATGGTCTGTCGTTCCGGGGGTCGGTCATTGTGACATGTAGGGTAGATGGCAGAGATAAGCTGAAGATGATCAAGCTATCATTGTACGTGAGACGACATCTCCGAGGCTCCAAAGGTCTTATGTCGACACTGCGACTGCCCTGTTGGGTCTTCGATGCCACTTATAGAGCTGGCAGCGTCCATCGCCCTACTGAAAGTCCCCGCCAAATGCCCGAGAGATGCGATTGCCGATTAGACGGAAGCAAATGACGGTACTTGTACGTCGACGTGGCAAGCTACTCAGTTCGCCGAACACCATACTGCTGTCCCCATTAGCTGGCATGGCTGTCATCTGGGCAGAAGAAAGCAGCATGGCAATCAGGATATAGACAGCCAGGGTGGCGATCAACGCAATCCACTCAACCTCAGCCGTGAATTGAGTGAGTTGACGGCTTAATTAGCTTTTCCTCTGTTGGGTTGATCAACCTTGCCCCTGTGTTGAGTTGGTTGACGTTGCGTTGATGGTTGACCAAGCCCATGCCTTGCAGCCAAGATCGATGCTCCTAGCCCGAGCCATCGCAGTTCACAACTTTACTCCCACCTTGCCTCTTCCTCGCGTGTCTGCATTGGCAAGCTCCGGAGCCACTCTCCTGCTCCGCACTCTTCCACCGCTTGCCAGGAACTGTTGCATCCGCCTTGTGCAGTAGTATTGGATCAACTTCCTCCACGATGCCCGCCTGTAGCCATGACCGCAGCACCTGACAGATAGCAATCGTGCTGGCCTCCAGCTGACTCCGAAGAGGCTCACCATGCGACCTGCCGCGGAGAACAACCTCTCGCACTCAGCGCTCCTCGCCTGAACCGTCACAAAGTCCCTGGCCATGCGCGAGAGCCTGGGGTATTTGATCACTGCGCATGCAAATACTGATGCGGATCAAGAATGTTCGCTGTCGGTCAGTAGCAAGTCCTGCTGCCAAATAGCATACTCGTCTCAGACCTCTTTTCATCGCAGGGCCATGTCCGGGCCTCATACATATATTGTTCAAACGGAGAATAGTATTGCGTCCGCTGACGCTTGGTGGTTGGCTATCATGATCCTCCAAGGAGATGTTCAACATCTTGTACGCTCTGTCCCAGACGGACTGCACCACGTCGTTTGCCTTAGATGCCCAAATCGGCCGCCCTGACCACACAGTTTCGAAGTAGCCCCATCGATAAGCGGGGTGCAACGCCAGCGACGCGTAATAAATGGGAGTTTCATCCAGCTTGTTATAGTATTCGTCAATCTTCTTCCAGCCAAGGTTGATGGTGACCCTGAAGTGGTCGGGCTCAGGATACTGGTTTACCAGCTTTAGCTTTCTCCAATTCCGTCAGCAGGAATTTATATCCCACGATCCACTCCCAACCAAATGCTACCATAGGTCCCTACCTGTGCCTTCGCTGGATCCCATCACCTTCAACGGCGTTTGCTGGGAATTGGAGACTGGGGAATGGTTTGACGACTGATCACGTGGGAGTCTATGTGACTTTTCGACCTCGAAATTTTTGCAGGACAAAATCGCAGAGGGGTCGAGTAGCGGAGGAGTCAAACTTAAAAGAGAGGACGGCGCGCTCCATACCATTTGTCCAGTTGCCACGCAACAAGCTGAGGGAGTTGTGTGCAGCACCCTCTACTATACAGCCCTGTTCAACGCACAGCGAGGATGACATGGTCTCGACTTGAGTTGGTCAACAAGCGTTAAGCCAAAAGTATTCCAGCGAATGTTGATTGGACAAGTCGGCCATCCCTGATATCACAAACGGCACATACCTTCCGCTGCCGGTTGAAGCGGACGAAAAATCACTCACATTTGGCCAATTGTGGCATGATCCCCGTAATGTGCCTCATTGAGGAATACAGTCACCATCAAGCATCTAGTGAGAGCTAACAAGTCCATAGCCTGGTGGCGCCTCTAACAACATGTGCATAAGAAAGTATCCCAGCTGAAGCAGAGGCAGACCGACGTTTCGTCCCTCCCTGGGACACAAGACCGAAAGTGAGTCGCGGACCCCTCCGGCGCTGGCTCCGGACCCATGGCATCTTGCCCGTCTTCGTGCCCCGCATGACGAACTTCTCGTCCAGACATGGATGTGGATGCCCCAAGCGGACGATACGGCCCCCGCCACTCCGCATGATCTGCACGGCAGGAATTGCCCATTACTATGCAACAGCGCCGAGAAACCGACATGTACTGTACAGTAAAAGGCGATTCTGTGATGAGGATCGTACAGTAGGGTCCGTATTGAGCGTCCCGTTTTCCACTCAGTGTAAGTTTATAACGGCGTCCCATTTTGGCTGAAAGGTGGGGCCGGCCTGGCTTACGCCAAAGTTCCATGTATCTCTAATCACCGCGACCGTCGAGTTTCGATCGACAGTTCGCTCATTTGAGGCCATGCCACCCGCAGAGCTGTCAAGTATGTGTGCATGGTTTTTTTCCTCAATTCCATCTTTCCATTGACTTCCCTCCACCTGACATGACGCATTCTAGCTGGTCTGATTCTGGGGGCACTTGGGCAGAGTACAAGATAGCCTTGGTCGAAAAGTGACATTACCCCACTTCAAGCCGAAATGGGACGCCGTTATAAACATACACTGAGTGGGAAACGGGACGCACAATACGGACCCTACTGTAACAATGCAACGTGCAGAATGGCCCAGTGGGTGACACGTTGGGCTCGGGCGATGCGATTTCAAGCGCTGTCAGTCGCGTCCAGGGGCCTACGCGTCGTGCCAGGACGCTAGTATGCTTATGGAGCGTCATTCCGGCAGATGCCATTCTGGGATGGAGTGTGGGGAATCCGGCCCGCCCCCCAGCGCCTGGTCTGACACGCCGTCAAATTTTGGGTACTTGCTGCGTCCCCTCGGCTTCTCCTGCGTTGTAGATGGGAAGACGAAGATCCAGACTGCCGCAATGTACAGCGCTTTGATCTACCCCTTCACTACCGTCGTACCGATTTGGTGAAAATTCGCATCAGTCTGTCGGCATAAAGGCAGACAAGAACCTGAGGATTGATCTGCCTCATCAAATAAAGCCTTGCGCTTGTAGGTAGGCTACGTCACCTTCGCCAAGGAATGCTTCGTTGATCCCGAGGCAAGGAAGGCTGCGATGCCGGAAGTGCTGGGCTGCTGGGCCACCTTGCGATTAGGTCGCCTCGGCCTGCTCCTTGGGTTCTATGCGTGTCTGTTCGGCCAAAACCCGGTAAAAAGGCTCTGCCCGCTATGCAGTGTATGCATTCGTTGGATAACTTCATATCAACGTTGTGTATATACATATCACTCCTGTGTTTTGCTTTCTCCCAGCTTCTCCCTCCGACTGGCCCAAGCCACAACTCGACTTGGTCCCTTCGACCCCGTTTCCTCACCGTGCGCTCGACCGATCTAACAGCGCCGAGTCGCCATAATACCGAATCCTGCCTACGATGCGTGAAATTGTAGGCAGCCTATGGCCGACTTCACGTGCGATGGAGCTCATCCGACTGACTTTGCGGCCCCTATTTTTGTGTCTAGGTTCACCTCCAGGCCGGCCAATGCGTAAGCATTCGATTCGTGTCGAACGGTTCGCCGATCCTGAACAATGATTTCACAGGGCAACCAAATAGGTTCTGCCTTCTGGCAGACTATTGCCGGCGAGCACGGCCTAGATAGTAATGGCATGTAAGCACACTGTCCGCGGCCGCACGGAATGTCCCTTTGATCTCACGTTCATCTAGATACCATGGAGACTCCGACCTGCAACTCGATCGGATGAGCGTCTACTTTACCGAGGTGAGTAGTACTACTACAGTGCTTGCTCGCATCAATTCCGGTCCTAACAGAGCGTACATAGGCGTCCGGCAACAAATATGTCCCACGCGCTGTGCTCGTGGACCTAGAGCCTGGTACGATGGATGCGGTTCGCGCCGGCCCATTCGGTCAGCTATTTCGCCCAGACAATTTCGTCTTTGGACAGTCAAGCGCCGGCAACAACTGGGCCAAGGGCCACTACACTGAAGGCGCTGAATTGGTCGACCAGGTGCTCGACGTAGTTCGTCGCGAGGCCGAGGGCTGCGACTGCCTGCAGGGCTTCCAAATCGCTCACTCGCTCGGCGGCGGTACTGGCTCCGGTATGGGTACGCTGCTGATTTCTAAGATTCGCGAAGGTAAGAGTTGCCTCGATCTCTCGCGGTGCTCCATACTTACCACGGCAGGAACAGAGTTCCCGGATAGGATGATGGCTACTTTTAGCGTCGTGCCGTCGCCAAAAGTGTCAGACACCGTGGTGGAGCCATATAACGCCACTTTATCCGTGCATCAGTTGGTTGAGAACTCGGACGCAACTTTTTGCATCGACAATGAGGCACTGCTAGATATTTGCATGCGTACATTGAAAATATCGAACCCTTCGTACGGCGATCTCAATCATCTTGTATCCGCCGTCATGTCCGGTATCTCAACTTCATTGCGCTTCCCCGGCCAGCTGAATTCGGATTTGCGAAAGATGGCCGTAAACATGGTAAGCCCGCCCCTGCCGTCTCGCCCTGGGCGACTGTCATTAGGTGACGCTAACATGCTCTCCCACTCTGTCCAGGTTCCCTTTCCGCGTCTACACTTCTTCATGGTTGGCTTCGCACCACTAACCAGTCGTGGCGCGCACTCCTTCCGCGCTGTTACCGTACCCGAGTTGACCCAGCAGTTGTTCGACCCCAAGAACATGATGGCCGGCTCCGACTTCCGTAATGGTCGGTACCTCACCTGCTCCGCTATCTTCCGTGGCAAAGTGTCCATGAAGGAGGTGGAGGATCAGATGCACAACTTGCAGGGAAAGAACTCGGCTTATTTCGTCGAATGGATCCCCAATAACATACAAACGTCGTCATGCTCCGTCCCCCCACAAGGTCTGAAAATGTCGTCCACATTTATCGGCAATTCGACCGCCATCCAGGAGATTTTCAAGCGCGTTGGCGAGCAGTTCACCGCCATGTTTCGCCGCAAGGCATTTCTGCACTGGTACACGGGAGAGGGCATGGACGAAATGGAGTTTACGGAAGCCGAGTCCAACATGAATGACTTGGTATCAGAGTACCAGCAGTATCAGAATGCGACCGCGTACGACGAGGAGGAGGAGGACGGATATCGTGAGGAGGATTATGCCGAGGAGGAGGTCCCAGGTGAGGGGCTCACCTAAATTGTAACGGCTCTGCGACAAGGAGTACCTGGCTTAGTTTAGTGGCCCCTGCTTCCCATCGTCGAGTCTAGATGTCCCAACTCTTCCGCTTTCGACTTCTGTTTTCTATTAACCAGGCACTGCTTTCGCCTCAAAGGACCTGCGCACACTTGATATCACATATCGGTGGCCATTGTTAGTGTACGTGAAGCCTAAAAGCTGCTCGTCAGGATACCTTCGTCACGGCCTTCCCGGCCTTCCCGGCCTTCCCTCTCCCCCACCTCCTCCCTGGATGTTCGCACTAAGCTTCGCTTCCATCACTCCTATCACTTCCTCCAGGTTCCTTACATCCGTTTCTGTTTCCTGGACCTTCACACCCATCGGTTGGCGCCAAGGTGCCTCCCCAAAGGGATAAGATTGTTTGAGTCTGACTGACCGAGATCTATCCGCTCATCTAGCCATGCCAATAGCTCCGCACCTGTTGCACGGCCCATCTCATCACAGGCCGTGGGATGATGAGGACTGAAGGGACCCATAATTCGCTCGTAAAGCAGGACGGCCTTCGAAGGTGCGCACAAGAACCGAACACCTATAGCCATCAGCAAAGCCAGGAGCAGCGCGCCCATCAAGGCAATGTTCGGCATTGGTGACACATTCCTCCGAGCCGGGCGCTGCACATGGGACTCCATGCCACTAAACTTCGTCCCCGACTTTACTCGGCCCTCCTCATCCTCCTCCTCATCCTCCTCGTCATCCTCCTCCTCGTCAGGTAAGACACCTTCGTTGCTATACTCAGCACTGACGTCTCCAGACTCGAATGGGACAGGTGAAGACTCGTTCTCCACACCTGGAGCCTCGACACCGCCGACCCGTTCAGTCTTGTCACCTCCGCTACCCTCCATCCGGACTCCATTCATCGTGCTCTTCAAGCTTAGACACCCAAGGTTCCAGATGTCGACGATGAGGTCATAGGCCGTGTCTCTGTTGGAGAAGCTTGCAAAGGTATAATTGCCATGAATTGTGGAGATCATGAGCGCATTTCTAAAGATCAAGGCAGTGCTTTTCTTCGTAATGGACTGAAGTTCGTCAAATTGAATCACCAGGGTCGTAACCCATCCGAAAATATTGCTGCTGAAGCTGATGTTGCCCTGTGATACGTACAGTCGGCCGTGCGTGAGAATATCCTTTTGCAGCGCACAACTGTAGTCGTCGACGAGGTAGTCACAATTAGGGACACCCCAAAAGTGTCTGTGGAAATCGCGGTTTCGTTTCCTACTGGCAATGGCGAAGTCCGTGCGCGTTGGAGTCCCGAAGCAGGCCGTGGATGCGCTGGTCAGTAGTTTTTGGGGTCCGGCAGCAGCGCTGCCGGTTATGTAACTCCCTCCGCTGATGTCGGAGCCCCTCCACTTCCCATGTGGCTCAATGACGTTCTGCGCCTTCGACGGTTGTTGGAGCTTGGGTTCCGTATCCATCGGCCCGACATTATTGGGAGGCTGGTCGCCGCTTGTAGCTGCCTTCAGTCCGCGTCCTTGGCTGGACTTTCGAGGTACGTCCGCAATTCGCCTTTGATGCTCGCTATGTGTCGAAGCCCTCTTTATCGTATCGGCGGCTAGATCAGCTCGGGCTTCAAAGCCATGGTGGCCCGATCTGCGAGCAAGGAGGCGTTCAACCTCGGCGCTAACCTCACGATATCCGGCAGACAGATTTTGCGAAGCGCTGAACCGATGCATAATGTGGCGAATAAACGGGGTGATGATGAGGAGAAACACGACGTTGACCAGAGTAGCAGATGTACGACGGAGGGAGCGCTGATGTGGAGCCATGGTGTGCACTCCCAACCGCAGGAGGAGGACCCGCATCCAAGGCAGGCTACGTGACCTGTGCCTGCCTGTTTTGCGCTAATTACAGATCGCTTGCGTTGGTGGCCATCAGTTGCCGTTACCCCGCAAACCATTTGGGCATTCCGACAGCATGCAGTCACAACACGACAGCCACGGGCCGATCCAATTGGCCTCTTAGGGCGGCTTGCGCGCAGGCCGTTGTCTGTTGGCATAGCGCCCTGAAGCGGCCGGATCAATGTTTAGACGCCTCTCCAGAAGCAACCCCACTGCCTGAGCATGACAGCGCATAATTAGCTGTTACAACCGAAGCCACCTCCATCCACATCACCTCCCTTCAGTTCCCCTCGCTTCATTTCCTGACGCTGCTTACTTCTGTATCGCTCCCAGCATCCATTTGCCGCTATCTGCGATATGTCGCCCACTGGCAATCACACCAACCAACAGATTCAAGACGCCATCGGTCGTCGCATGTATCAAATCTTCACCACGACTGCCACAAATCAGGAGCTGATCCACTATGGGGAGGAGGTCCTCGAATGGTACAAGAACCCACATGTGACCGACGACTCCGACGCGATATATCAGCTGGACACTGTACACGCCATGTGGCAAGCAGAACTACCCACAGTGGGAGATGAGGAAGCATTGCGCAAGATCAGCTCGCTTCGTATACGAATCTCTGCGGCAGCCGCTGCCCTTCAACATGAGAATTGAGAGAGCTAAGTCATGCAACTGCGCACAGCGGTCAGCCAGCTACGAGCATCGTATGCACTACACACTGAGCTCCATTCTGGACAGCGACGAAGAGTCTTTTGTCCGCTAGACTGGCTGTATAAGTTCTCCGAAACAACATAACAATCCTGCACTTGACAACGTCAGTGAGATATATGTCCGGGCAAAATCAGGAAGTTATTCACGGAAACGAGGCACGGGCAGATAGGGCACAAGCCTCTACTTTACAAATGATAAGAGTTATCTCGCCGGAAGCCGGCCATGCGCTCGAGGGGCAAACGATTGCAGGACTTCATACGGCAACATTCAGTTTCTGCCATGCAGCTACAGCAGGGCAAGGCTCTCAGGTCATGGTAGATTGAACTCGCCGCTGGTCTTCCCGCCCGAAGGTCCTAGTCTACCCTTGGATCGTCCGTCATAGTTGGGCAAATGATACAAGTTCCGTCTCCTTCATCATGCCGCGCATTGCGCCGGCGAGATGCTCCTGCAATGGCCTCCATATTCTTTACAGCGTGGCGCGCCGCGCCTTTGACAATGTCGTCCTGCTGGTCTGTCACAAATTCACTCAGTCGTCCCGCCCAAAATGACCAACGCTCCGTGGGGTGGTCAAACTGCCGAGCCTCCACAGGGACATCCCTCTCCTCCCAAACCCTGAGCTCGTCTTTGGCAATCTCGTCATACAGCTTGCGTCCGTTATGCTTAATCCAGCAGGCGACAGCCGGGATATGGAAGTCCGCTTGAAGCAGCACCTCCGCTGTGTTATCCCCGGATGCTACAGTATTGTCATTGTGATTTGCCACCCTTTCCAGTGTCTTGATCAGGTACCAGAACGCGCGCCTCCACTCGAACAGCCCCGCTGCGACCAGCTGTGCCTCAGCATCTTGCTGCTTTATGTATGCGTCCCTTGCGCGATGCCTGGATCCCACGCTATTGCACCGTCTTACAATCTGTCCCGGTTCCATCCAGTAGGCTTCGGACCAAATCATGGTCAGGTATGGAAGACAAGCCCATGTCATCGGCCGTTCGTCATCATCGAGAGCCTCGCCTCGGTGGATTCGGTCACGTCTCCTCGCAATGGCAGCGAGGAGAAGAACGAGGTCTGGCGTGCGACCCGATGGCCATTCGACAAGTGCATCTTTGAGTAGCCTCCATAGCTGCGTGAGCGGGACAATGTCGTCTGAAGAGGTTTCCCCCAAAGGAATGGACGTGCTTGTAATAGGGCGGGTGATAGCACGAGCCGCGTCTTGTGGGCGGACTTGGCGGCCGTAATACGCCTTAAGAACCTCGACTTCCTTGGAGATATAGTCTTGGAGGATGTCATTGCTGGTGCGATAACGTTTGAGTTGCTCATCAAACCACGCTTCGGGGATGTCTTGAGTCCCGCTGAGATGCAGTGAGCATTGATCTGTGTCGCTCATTCTGAGCTGGGGTCAGCAGAGAAGGGAGTGGTCGTGGCAGTCATGAACGATGTACCGGCCACGTTTTGAGGGGCAATGCGCTTCCAATTACCAGGGTTAGGTAAAGGGCACTGCGGTAGCGGCGTCGGACTCACATCTTGTACTTATCGCGGCTATTCAGCTGATGACAGTATATGGGAAGAGGGTGGCAGGGAATGAGGACAGCAGCGCAGTTGAGTTGGGGCGGAAGCGGAGGAGGCGGTGATTCGGGGGCGAAAATGGCAAGGGAGAGGGGCGGTGCGTCAATTTGGAAGCCCCCGGCTGGCATGCGCTAAACGGTGCCTCTCTTTGCAAACTCCACTGCACGCATCCTTCACATCAAAGTCACAGGTAGAAGTTTGCATCGACGTCTCCAGGCTGTGTGGACATCCTCACAGTGGCTTAAGAGAAGTGCTGCCTTAAATTTTACAGGAATATGAGGTTCTACAGGAAGCCCGCCCACTATGCTTGCATACGTATGGCAATGCTAGTCTGAGTCCACAGCCCTGTTGGCTACGTGTCGCTACCGAGGCCGTCTTTGTTTGTCTAGCTTTCATACATGTTGCGCGATGAGCAACTGAACTTATGGGCGGATGTGGGCGGATGTGGTCAACGTTAAGCCGGTCGTCAATATGGGGACTCGACGCGTGCTTTTTCGCGTTTCCTGTGACGCGTTTTGACGTTGCAATCTACTTCCTGATCGGCCAAGGCGGTGCAGGCATCCTCCTCAGGAGTCTCGTTTTGCCGGAAGCCACATTCTGCCGGAAAGGCAGTTCTGGCAGAACGATGGGTGGCCCGGCGTACTAGGCAGGCACATGTCCGGTCATGCCGTGGGCATTGACCCTCATTTGGCACGCTGCGGGTGGGTGCAGAACCAAGGCAGTGGCCTCTCGCGTGCCTTTTGGCTGTGTGCAAGTGAATTTCACTAAAACGCATACAAAGTCAAACCCCCGCGCTATTGCAGCTCTTATCTATCGGACTTGTGCATATGCACACTCTCCAATGCCACGCTCGCGTCGACATTCCGACTCTGGAGTGATATAGATCTTGGTATTTTCCAAGGTATAGTAAGGCATAGTCCGGGATGACCGACTGTCAGTGTAAGACATGCAATAATAATCATAGCGCCTTCCAATACCATGTATGAAACTTCATTGCTAGCAAGAGGGCTTTGAAAACCCTCTCTTAATTCAGCAACACGGAAGGCGGATCGCACGAAGATGGTGACAGAAGAAATAAAAATGCCTGGAAGTGTCAGTATCAGTGTCTCCTGTCGAGGACCCTGATAAGGATCCGGACGTACCAAGTACCAAAATCCTCCACATCAGCCGCCTGTGTGTAGACACGGGTTGGCGGTAAAGCCTCGCGGCTGAAGCCTGCCACCTCCATGCATAAACACCCGCATTGAGTATGAAAAGGAAGAGTGACACCACTTGCAGCGAAAGTCCGGCAATCATTATATTGACTCCAGTCTGTCGCATCGTCTTTGCTCCTTCCGAATCGCCACCAGAGGTCGACGTGATAGCCCCTCCGACAGCCTGCAGCGCAAGACAGAAAAAGTCGCTCGTCATGAAGATGATGGAGATGGTCTTCGGTCGAATCCAGGAGCATCTAGCATCGCAGGAGTGAACAACACGAGAGAAGGAGACATATATAGCGGCGGTAAGGAAGGCTGGTGCGATAGTGAGACAGACTAAGTATCTTGGGAGTGCGTTAGAGACTGTTACTTATATGGTACGCATAACTTACTCGATGAAAAAGGTGAAGCTAAAAGGATTGTTGTGCAGCTGGACCCGCCCAACATATCCAACGATTTCGAGAATCAGTCCACAAGACATTGCAATGAGGAAACTCCACGTCTTGTATCGAACGCCGAGACCGAGCTGCACGAGTAACAAAAGGCCGAAAAGCGCAGCAAAAAGAGCATTTGCGCCGACGTTTGGCTGATACGTAATGATGCCTTCGGACAATGGACATGTCTGAAGCGTACATGGCACATATGTCTTCGTGCCGCTGGTTGTGTTAGTAGACATTGTAGAGGTGGCAGTTGAGCCACGTGAAAAAATTGCCTCGATGTTTGCGGATCAAGACAAGCAAAGAGGGATGTAAACTGCTCTTAATCTAATGTTTTATATACTCAAGCACCTTGGGCGCTTCGTGCTTGTCTACGCGGAAACCAGGCGCAGCAGAAGCAGGCTGGAGATGACAGGCGGAATCTTCCCTTGCTGGGTCCCTTGGCCAACATGTTGGCATTGTCTCCACAGCTGTTGCCAGAATTCGGTGATTCGTGGGTCAAGCTGGCCAGTTCAATCAGGGGCAACCTTTGGCTTGCAGAAACGCCTACCCGGGCTCCACCGACAGCCACACTAGTTTCATGTGGTTAAAACTCGTGCACAAAATCCCTTCGTATTGCCCCGTCAGCTCTGGTGACTGCAGTCTCACTCTGCCATCTTAGGGCGGGCGGAGAAGAGCTACGGCCCCGGAATATACCAGAATTGCTAGTGGATTTCCCCTGTAGCAACAGATCAGCAAGATACCACAGGTCGTTAGCTGGCAGTTGGTGGCTCCAGGCCCACCTGCTTAAGAAGGAAGCAATCGGGCGCTCCAGGCCCCTGTTGATGCTCCAGCTGACTGGGAAACCAATCCTACTCAAGACTAGAAAGCCCTGTCTCACTCACTAGCCTCGCACGTTGGAATAGATTCATGGGTCAAGCTGGTAAGCTCAATAGGCTGTACCCCTTCGGCTTTCAGAAACACCAAGTCGGGCTCCACCATCCATCCTAGTTTGCTCCACCTTGCTCAGCCAAAATACAGCCCACGTGAGGCCGAATATCAGTAATTGAAGATGCCGTTCTCAATCTGGTGAAGCTTCGCCAGAACAGGTGACCGAAATGAGCTCCATTCTATTCTAGCTGCTCTGTTTGATGACCCCCCATCAATAGCGTACTTTGCATCGACAGGGCTTCCGTGGAATGCGCTTCATAATTGATGCGACCCACAAGGCGAACGGCGATGTGATACTTGCTTCTATGTGTACACTGTCTCGGACTTGTGAGTCCGGCTGTTCTGTTTTGATTAATCGACTACTCGCCATCCTCGCAGGAATGGAGGGTGCGACATGCTGAAATCGACATGAATTATACGGCTGCCACTCCCATCAAACATAGCATTGACATTAGCGTAGCCATTTGCCTCTGTCCCTCGGGGATGTCGCAAGGCATTACCAATGCGGCCTCTCCAACCGCGGCCAGTCTGTCGCAGTGAAGGCATCACAAACACTTAATCACGTAGGCCGTTACACGGCACCACTGAGGGTACGGAACCCGGGTACGAATTCGGTCGATGTAAATCGATCCCATTTCCTTGAGACAAAAGCACATGCTTGCCATATTCAGTGGAGTAGAGCGCTCAATTGCTTGCTATTTGGGTTAAACGCCAACGCAGTTCCAACCCTTTATCGCCATGGCGATTTTCGCGCCAGTGCAAATTAGACGGGGGCCGCGTCAGCTCTGGGATGGGGCTATCCATATTGCGCGTTTGACGCTGACAAGATCTACGAAGCGGCAAATCTGATGGTTCGGCTATCGGAAAACCACTTTCGACGCACCTTCCTAATTAGGAAGCAATCGGGCGCTTGTTTGAAGAACATCTATCGCTGGACCTCAGTGCAGGTACAACGGTTGGGGGCCAAGCAGTTGAAATCTCTCTCGCGCCACGCCTCTAACCGTCCCGCCGACCTCAATAAAAACTAAATTTAAGCAAGTAGCCGACCGAATTTTATCCCTGTCACTGTGCAAGCCATTGCATGGCAAAGAAACGTACCCTGAGTATAAAGGCCTGACGCCCATTGATGCTTCTGTCTTACGCCAAAGAGGCACATTGCCGGTCTATAGCATCTACGCTGTTGGAAGTCGTCCCAACGGATTCCCGGCTTTTCGTCATGGGGCCATTTGATTGGGGAGCATGCCTCCCGTTCTTCTTAGTTGCTGCAGCGGCACAATCAATCATTTGCCCTCCTCTTGGTCCTACTTTGCCACCGCCAAAGGGGAAACTATCCAATCACGCGCTCATTAAGTCTTTGTCACAAAACCTGACGGAAACTCTCGATATAATATTTCATCCTTCGAACGCAACTTCCAGATTCCATCAGTTTCAAGCCAACCTCACATCAATATCCTTGGAAGTCGTGTCAACTAGTGATCAAGATCCGTTGTTCGCTTACTATCACACCGCCAATTTGCTGAACTCAACCGGGACACAGTTGGTAACAGACAGGACTATCTTCCGCATCGGCAGCATTACCAAGTTGTTTACGGTTTTGGCGTTAATTCTGCATGAAGACAAGTTCAGTTGGCAGGATTCTATCACAAAACATGTACCCGAGCTTCTCGACTCCGAAAGCTTCAAGATGTCTAATCAAGGTCAACTCGATTCTGTCTTGAGTACTCAATGGCAAAATATCACGCTTGAACAACTCGCATCGCACCTCTCCGGCATGCCCAGGGACAGTAAGCTTTATTTTCCGTATCAGAAGTCGTCTGAAACTGACCATTGTTGCAAGTCGTGGATCTCTCTGCCACGGTTCAATTGCCTTGGACGGACCTTGGCTTTCCCACCCTCAATAGGACCGACTTGCCAAGATGCGGCGCCAACGTCACCAGTCGGGCATGTTCGCGACAGGGTATTCAATCTTGAACTGCATGCAATAGCAGCGAAAAAGCTGAACATTGGTAGAATTCGTCGATGCAATTATCCTACGCACTGCAGTCTTTGAGCCACTCCACACGCCTTCATATTCAAATGCAGCCTTCACTTTGCTAGGATTGGCTCTTGAGTCAATTGTCGGCAGAGACTATGAATCAATTATCGAATCAGATGTGTTCAAGCCCCTGGAATTGGTAGATAGCAGCGTTTCTAAACCACGAGCAGGGACAGGTATTATACCCGTTGGGGCGAGCGGATGGGATCAAGACGACGGTGTCGGCCATGCGTAAGTTCGCTAGAGTTGTTTCCTCTTGCATATGAGTACTTACACGATGAAGATCTGGGGGTATATACAGCTCATCTCGAGGCCTGTCGCGCTTCAGTCGAGCCCTCCTTTCGCATGAGACGCTGTCTTCTACACGTACTCAGCGATGGCTGAAGCCACAGAGTCACACGTCGTCGCTCACCTTTTCCATCGGCTCACCTTGGGAGATAATCCGGTCAAACTCATTGACAAGTGATAACGCAGTTATGGACCTATACACGAAAAGCGGCGGTATTGGACAATACGGCTCGCTTACTTTATTGGTTCCCGACTACAATATTGCACTTATCGTGCTTCTCGCCGGCGATTCTGGGCCTATCAACGTGATAGCTGAGGCAGTTATCCGTCGAACTCTTCCAGCTCTCGAGCTCATAGCCAAGGAACAAGCCTCAGTCCGCTATGCTGGAACCTACAGAAGCGGGAATTCTTCCATATCAATAAGCGTTGGGGGCATCGGTTCTGGTGCTGGACTGAAAGTCGACTCTTGGATTAGCAATGGCCGCGATATTCTCGCAGAATATGCCCAGATCTTCCGACCTTTCAAGCTGAAGCTATATCCGACCGGAATCAGCCAGTTAAGCGGCAGCAATCATGGCAAACTGGCCGTAGAGTCTTTCCGCGGCGTTTATGAATACCCGGCTTCCGAATACGATTCGTTTCTGAACCAATGTCGCTCTTGGGAAGGATTCGACGGCAACGTGTACGGTCAACGTGCCCTGGATGAATTCATATTTCATCTAGATGAAAACCGTGCTGTCAGCATCGAGCCGAGAGCAGTGCGTCAGCTTCTTAAGAGGGAAGCTGCAAACTGACGTTGGACAACGAGAGGAGCCAGCATTAACTGTGGAACGAGCAGCAGTCGTTCAACAATTTGACCCAAGCGCGTCTTTGTACATTAGATTCAGCAGTGTAGCACGTCGGTTTCCCATAGGGGCTCCTAGGTTTCACTATAGCTGCTGGACGTCAAATGGTTATCTTATCGTATCTCACCGCCATAACCATCGCACCAATCTTCAACTCTGCAGCGATATACCTCTGCCTTGTCCGTATCATGAACCTGCACGGCTTCCACAACTCTCGCTTCAGCCTCCAAACGATTGCCATCATATTTGTAGTGTCGGACTTCGTTTTCCTCGTACTTCAGGCTGCGTTTGGAAACATCGCCTGCGTGTTTGAGGCTGTGAAAGATGCAAAAGGGGGTCAACACCTTGGCTGCAGGGCTTATTCTGCAATTTGTGAGCTTGGCAATCTTTCTGCTTTGTAACATTGATTTCGTCTGGCGATGCCATCGAGGCATCACTTATCAATCACCTGGTTGGAGAAGAGTCAGAGACACTGCCATGTTCAAGGCTTTCGGGATCGGCCTCTTTGTGGCCACGGTCGATATCCTCACTCGTTACGTTTTTCGCGTTGTAGAGCTACGGGAAGAGCTTTTGCGGAACACTTGGAACAACGAGCTTCTCTTCACGGTTCTTGAGGGTGCTATGGTATGCCTCGCGTCTCTACTTCTTTCGATCCTCCATCCTGGAGTTGCACTTGACGATCAGTGGGCGGTTAGTAAGTGCTCGTTCAAAGCAAAAATGGCGTTGCCCATTTTTTACACTGGCTCTGTGTGCGATTTGAAAGAGGCAATTGATAGGCAGGCCTAACCACTTTACTACGGGGGCCGTCTTCCGGGGGCCGGGCAGTCGAACATTCCATTCGGCACTCAAGCCACACTCATGATTTCCTCCGTGGGAGCGGGCTCCCGCATCGATAAGATGGATCTGGTCTGTGAAGAAACAGGACAGGGGCCATATCGAGTTGGATTGGTTCAACTTGCCTTCAAACGAAACGCCCATACATTGTCGCGAATACTCCATCATCTACCGTGCATACTATGGCTGCACGTGGATACAATCCTTGCGGTCCTCTTCGTCACCAGAACCCCCCAACGGGGCCGGTATCACTGAAAGGCAATTGCTAGACGGGCCGAACCACTTTGCTACCCGGGCCGCGTTACGGGGGCCGTGTGGCTGAATTTCCAAATCGGGCAGTCGTGCATTCCATGCCGCGCCGGCTGATATCCCTTCCACCAGATGGCTGGCTTCCGTTCCAGTGCTTCCTCCCAACCACCCGTACTAGTCGCTCAAGCAAACATGGAGTCGTCAACGGCGATCTATCGGCATCGCTTTCAAACGCAATGCAGTCAACGCAAACGCCTACCTCACCAGCTGGCCCAGGGTAACCTCTCTCCACCTGTGCCGCACAACTATCGTGGCGTCCTCATCCTTCCCTGCATTTTTACTTTCTTGGCATGCAACTGTTAAGAAAGTAGCCCAATACACACCTTATTCCTTAACAAGTACACCGTATTCCGCCTATACTGCGCTCAGCGCAGCCGGCGGCGGCGGCGGCGATGGCATCGGCCTCGTCCAGCCCGCCTCATAATGATGATTCTTTCGATCTGGGTCCCGGGACCCCCTCCGGCCTAGCCAGAGGAGCGCGTGTCGCCCTTCTGCGCAACAGCCCCGCCACCCGTGAGGGCGAGATTGGCGTCTCGCGCTCTGCGCTACGGACAGCATACACGCCGTCATCGCCGCTTCAGGCGGTTTCCTACGCTGCAGCCACGGAAGGAGCTCAGCGCGCTGTCCATTTCGACTCTAGCGAAGCCGACCCGCAGCCCGGCGACGGCCCCGTCTCAATCGCCAACGCCGCCGACAAGCTCGTTGTCGCCCAGAACGAGGTCTATAGCAGTGTGGCTAACAATCAATCGAGTTCAATTTCGACCATCGAACTCCATTGATTGAAGGTATGTCCAACTCGATTGAAGTTTGACTTGACCAGTCAATGAACTTGATTGACAACTTGTCAAGTACTTGATGTACTATGCCTAATCCGGTAATTGGTACAGACACTCGCGGTGCAAAATCTCGCGCAAAATTTTTGGGAGCTTGGAGTGCCTAATGACCCGACTTGGGCCCTTGGAAGGCGTGTGGCAACGTAATCACGCGTCGAATCGACGCGTTGTTGATGGCTGCTTGGTGTGATAAGGGTGGGGTTCATTTTCGCTTGTTTCGGGAGGGTTTGGGGGGCCTCGCGCGGGCTCTTACAGCCAGCCAATGCACGCTACGCAACCACAATCGGCCCCACAATATTTGAGGGCAATCCCACGTCGAAGCGATGTAATTGGCGGATTACTTCCCAATCCAGGGTAATCCTCGCCTCGCCATCTGGCGTCAAGTACTTGACGACTTGACACTCCTTGAACTCGATTGATTGATGACTACTACCTAACTTGACTTGAGAACTTGACTTGACGAAAAGTCAAACTTGATTGAGAATTGTCAAGTTCGAGCTTAATTGTTAGCCACACTGATTGTAGTCGCTTCGTGAGTCGCTCGAAGGGCTGCAGGAGCCTATAGAAGAGCTCAAGCTCGTGCCAATCAGCCTCGGTGAGGAAGTCATTCTTGTGCTTGTCGTTTCTATCTGGAGGCTTCCACTGTGCCTGGTAAAGATCTATGGCAGGCCGACACTTAAGAGCACGCTCGATCATGTAGTACGTCGCGTTCCATCGAATGCCGCCGTCACTGAGGAGCACGCCGACGAACAGCATGCCGTCGCTTGTCTTCGTGACGCGCATGCGAGCTCTCAACTGCTCACGGCGTGCGTCGTTTCGATTAATGTAGACAACGAGATTATGCAGCTTGCCAATGACGCCTTTGAGGGTCCAGAGAGCTACGCGCTGCTCCTCGGAAGCCTCAATGAGATTCTTCTCCCACGCGCTGACGCCTTCGCCATATAAGAGAGCCTGACCGACGAGATTAATAATATGGCCGATACAGCGAATACGGTCTGCCTCTGGATCGATCGAGGAAAAGGAACGCTGTAACACCTCGAGGCATTTGTCGTTGTCATCAGCGTTGTCCATAACGAAGGAGCCGAGCTTCTCGCCGATGCCGTATTGTAGAATTACTGGCTTTACCAGTGCTGCGAGGTCGTCGCCAGTGTGACCGCCATAACCTCGTGGGAAGCCGAGTAGGAGTGTTCGAGGATGGCCCTGGCCATCGACGAAGTGTCCGCAAACAGCGATGTACTCTCTGCGATTATGAGCCCGCCATCCGTCGATCGAAAGGTTGATGCGACTGAGTGCGGACTGCACCAATTCGATGATGAATGGTAAGCGTGCTGCCATCGAATCCTTCACCCACCGCGAGAGCGTTGAGTGATGCGTTGGTAACAGGCACACGAGCGGAGGCTTGCCGTATGTGAGTAAATCAGTGGTCGACTCGTCCGTGACTTCTCGGTAGCTAAGGCGCAACTTGATGGCCCAGTCAATGAGCTTTTGCTTGTACTCATCCTCATTAAATGGCATGATGAGCTGGAAAACTTCTGCGGCATTGGTGGCATCGATATCATCGTCACCGGTGGTCGAATTCGATGGCCGTTTGATCTTATGGAACTCTAAAAGATGCTGGATTGCGGCCGTCGTCGATTCTGCTGCGAATAACTGGCTGGTATACCGCTTCTTTGTATGGCAATCGGCGCATAGGAAGTACTTGTCGTTACTATGCTCCAGCTCTGCTCCATATGAATAGATCCACGAGACCTCCACTCGTCTGCCCACGTTCCTCTTGTCCCGTATGCGATACTGTATACCCTTGAGAATCGTGCCATCGTGCCGCCGAAGCACGCCCCAGTCAATTGGGAACGACAGAGAATCTGGAGGGCAGGTAGACCGATGGAGCGGTTGCTCCACGCCTGGCGTTTGCTCGGTCGACGGTATCGGCTCGCTTGGATCGGTAGATTGCCTCGAGGAAGATGTCACCGATAAGCTTCGCGTGGTTGACGACCGGCTTGGGCCCCAAAACGCGTGCAGCGACATAACGACGCGTCGATGCGACGCGTTGTGGATAGCGGGAAGGTGGAGCAGGAGGAGTAGGGTTCCACTCCGCCTTCGTGAAGATCCACAACAGTACAACAGCCCCACAATGGGCCAAGGACGTCGACTTTGAGCAACGTAATTGGCCAGTTTCGCACCAGTCCAGGGTAGTCATCACTTAAATTATTGACATTAAGTACTTGACAACTTGACACTCTTGCAACTTGATTGATTGACGACAGCTGTGAAACTTGACTTGAGAACTTGACTTGACGGGAAGTCAAACTTGATTGAGACTTGTCAAGTTCGAGCTTGATTGTTAGCCACACTGGAAACGGCAGGCCATAGGGGTTCGCCGAGGCGCCGTCTTGCCTGTCGCTACTAGTTTACCTGGATACGCAAGGGACCGGTATACGCCTGACGCAGAGACGGGTCGAGAAGTGATGCTTGCGCGGTATGGATGATTTCGAGTAGCAGGCTCTGAATGATGCGATTGGGTCAATTGCCAGTGGAGATCGGGATGCTGTACAACAAGTCCGTGGCAGCGGTTGTCGCTAACTTGCTGTGTGGAATATTCGGACATAGAGTATTGTGGGTCGGACAAAACGATCCGGCTCGGGTTCATGTAACCTGTAGAGAAGCACGGGTTAGCCGGTGACAGATTACAGCTGTCATCGACGGCAACCGACGAGCTGTAGTAACCATCATGGCTATTATCATACCCATAGCCACGTCCCCCATGTTGTATTGCCGACGGTGCTGCTGGGGAGATTATTTCTGGGACGTTGTGCGTCACGAAGGCATAGTTTGAAGCTGCATTGATAGTTGTGGCTCGGTTTTCCTCGATGGAGAGATGCCACTGTTGGCTTACTTGGTTGGAGGAGAATGTGGAGAAAATGGGCTGGCATGGTGGTTGATGCATGGTCCACACGCAGTTCTGTTCCGGAGTGTCGTAGCGATATTTGCCGAAGCGCGCTCTGTGGCCATTCGACGGAGTTTAACGGTTGACAACTTTCCTCCTCGCCTTCGATTATTCGATCGGCGGCCTTGTTGTCAATACGCAACATGGAACAAGCTGCTTCCGATTTGAACAGGATTTGTATGACGCCCTTGGGGTTCGAAGAGGTCAAATTGCAGGCTTCGTATGAGGGTTTGTTGCCTTTGAGGCGAGAACATTCTAGGAGATCAGGAATGCGGCAACGACGTGCTGGAACGTGGGATTGGTGGTGGCGGTCACAGGCAATTCCCTTGGCAGTCGTGTGTCTGTGTTTTTGTTAAAAGAAAACAGAAATTGGTCCGTGCACGATGTCGTCATGTCAGACAATCGTGCCCACGTCATCCATATTTGGCATGCGGTCAATCGATGAGAATTATCTTGAAGAGCTATCTGTGACAGTGCGCTGCTCCTTATACACAAAGGAAAGCTTTGCTTTTGTGGTGCAAATTCCGTGTAGCCGAGGCTGCTGATGTGCTTTGACCCCAACGGGGTCCAAGCACCATGCAGTCATGCAGGCGCTCGACCTTAATACCCGCGTTATAGGATCGCGCTTCCGCGAACAACTACAGGGCGCGGGCCGTATGTGACATAAGGCTGGCTCTCTGTGCGACACGTCATTAAACAACACAATTTGTTGAGTTCCTGCCACTGCGCTACCTGCATTGTGGTTGGCAGCGGGCGCAAGCACGGACTGTTCCCCTTGCTTCGTTTTGCGGGCACCTTTCTGCGGTTGTCCTGGTGGGCATTGTCCGGGAATGTGTTCGCCTATGTTCCGCAATCGATGCTTTTCGCTGCGGCACTCTGACCTTCGTCGACCTCGACCGCTGGGTCAAACTCGGACGCCTGCAGTACGCATGCCGTGCAGCATTCGTTGCTGTGTCCATTTCTGTGGTTGCCTGACCGCTTGCTTCCATACTCCGGACCCTCATGTCAGTAAACTACGGCCGCTGCATCGCATAGGCCCTTCTTCTTTAACTTCGACCAGCCCGTCACGAATGTCTACACCACGGCGCCGCTCTCCTAGACGAAATGGAGGAGACACGGGACACGCGGACCACGACTCCCAGAAACTGCCATCCCAAAACTGCCGCCCAGAGCATGCCACTTAAGATAAGCAGCCTGATTGATGATGGCCGGACTATCTTGGCCGCCTCTGCTCGTGTTGCGAGTGTTTCTTGCGCCCTACCGTCCGTCACTACGTCGCCGGTAAAGTAAAGGAGCGCATGCTGTCAAACCCTGCGCACTGCCGTGCCACGTCTGTCAATTCCATCAGCTTTAGTCCCATTAAGATCTAATCTCGGTCGAACAGACCTAGTCAGAGTAATTCTAGCTCTCCTTATCGTGCTTGATTCCGTGCCATCACGCTGGACTCAGGTTGTTGGACACGTCGCTTCCTGCATCGTTTCCACGAGACTGAGGTAGCTGTATTATTCGCATGGCCAAGTCCACGGGATGAACAGTCGCCTGCACATGAATGGATGCACTGTGTCTCTTCTGGGTCTGTTCTGAGAATGAGAATGCAGGTTGCAGTATTGTGGTGTACGTGAGAGAGGCGAGGCTGCCCGGAGTAGTGTTCATATGCCCACAACCACTAAACAGCGGACCAGGCCCCAACCCTTGCCTGCGTGCGGTCGCAATGGGCCCACTCATCCGACAGCCGATTCAGATGGTCCTCTGCTGACGCCAGAACCGTGTCTGCCAACACGGGACGAGGGAAGCCAGAAATGGCTATATTGCCAGTATCGCGGGTACGCCCCGACTTTATCGGCCCATTTAGACCATCTCTTAGTCAGTTGGGCCGCGCGTTCCTCGGCCGTGGCAAAAACAAGAGGCCAAACCAGCCGGAATCTGATCGACCGAAGGTAAACGGCCACAAAAGGCTCTCACCAGCGCAATACGCCAATAATGGCCCTTTGATGCCTTATTTTCGCCAACTTGGCACGGTACCCTACCCACACGGTGGCGCCCTCGCGGTGGAAACATACGAAGGCGGCTGTCGCCGCCTGGTCGTTCCCGAGTGTTCAACTACCACCTCTCGTCCAACACCAACATAGGCTGTCGCCGCGACACAAACCAATCGCGTGTGTCGCTCAGTAATCCGCCATGCTGTATTAATGTTTCCGCAATATCTCGGGTGCAGTCACTGCCAGCCGCCCTGTACGACTTGTCAATTCGGTCGCGTCGCAGCGTTCGCCGCCAATGGCTGACAAGGCCTTGCGAACAAGTCCAAGCTTGGCGAAATGTGGACCTATTACCCACGGGGTACATTTCGCGATGCGATTGGGCTAGGAGAGGGAACAGCCCCGTTCCCGAATAGAACGCTTGAGAAGGGTCTGGTCTGTTCTGGTCTGCGCAAGGATAAATTACACTCTCAAAGTGGATCATGTGTCGGCCCACAAAGATGCCATTCACGGCAAGCCTTTCAACACAATATTAAAATTGTCAGCCTACCATCAAACGCTGTTCCACGAGCTTCACGGATGACGTCAACGTTGCCTCGCGTTCAAGTTTTCGCATCAACCGGCCAACGCCGACTATAACATCCTCACTCGTGCGAGACTCCCGTTGATCTAGAGGACCATGGCCATTTCGTATATCAAGCGCTTGGCTATAGACCCTCTGTCAGCTAGTCTTGGTTGGATCTCAAATATGGATGATGAATTTGTGGAGGTGAATACCACCCGCGGCAAGCTGCTCATCTCACAAAGCTTGCTGCCCTCCACACCCGAGGAGCTAGAAAGGATCTACCCGGAGCGTGTGGAAGCCCTCAATGATCGCCATGGCCGCAGCATCCAATCGACGCAACGACGCCGCGGCCTCGCCAACGATAGAGACACAGAGCCAGGGCCAGTGGCGGCTTCAGGCAGCATCCCGACCCAGTCACAGACGAACGGGTCGTTTCCGCAATCTGTCTCCAGCCCACAATGTGGACTGGCTCCTCTTACTGACTCGACGGACACAGTCCAGGCGACAGCAGGAACCTTGAGCAGGTAACGCTCCAATCAGACATGAACAGAAGTAATCCAACAAAGTATTGAATCTATAGCTAACTTGAGCGCCTCGTAGCGTCGTCTCTATGAACTACCCACTCGGCAACTTTGCGCCAAAATCTGTTGCAACTGAAGGGCAGTGCGTCGTGTTGCCACACAAGTCAGTTGCTCCCCTACAAAGCGGCATGTTGACGACGGGAAACGTCCCAGAAGATAGGCCGCAATCAGTTGCGCCCCCAATCCCCCACGAGCTGCAACGGCCGCCGCTACGTCAACCCGTTCATGACCTCGGAGATGACCGCACCGCCTCAGCTATGCCTTCACTTGCAGCGCTAGACGCACGTCTTCGCAACCAAAACCATGAGCGCTTGAGTGTTGTTAATGAGATGAATGAGCCATATTAATAGACATCCTTCGACGGCAAGATCGCCCCGCCTGATTCGGCAGACCTTGTGGCCTTTACGCAACTGAGTGGAATAGCTGGCTATGCGTGGCTAGCGATGCTGAATGTCATTCTATTAGACTAGAAGTAGGCTGTTCAATTGCGATCAAATTCGCAATACGCACATCAGGAGGCTATGTCGCTCATTTACATCTTCTTCTGAGGCACAAAAGACGCGAAGCTAGACTTTAGCGCTAGTATGTGGCCTTTCGTTACGACATGTAAAGTCCCTAATTTGCGAGGGATTCTTATAATAAGCCTGTCTCCATCTCAACATGCCCAATTGCGTTGCTTCGCGAAACCACCTCGTGTCTTGCCTCAACTAGTTTCTGCGGCTGACCTTGCAGGACGATTCTAGGAGTCTCCTGTCCAGAGAATACCTGGGGGGACAAAGGTTTGGCATGAGCGACTTGGTTCAGATTAGGATCCGTGATGTGACGGAGTTGGAGAGGCGTCGAGTCCTGGAGGCCCTTTTTCCTGTGATTTGCGGCGACGAACATCAGAACGTTGACTTTGCTGCGGAAACGCAGCGTACGTTAGCATCCAAGAAGATGGGCCTACCACTGGTGCATCT